TGAAAATCTTTGAAATTGTATAATATTTTAAATACACAATAAAGATAAGCCATGCCAGCCTGACGGTGGATTAAAAAAAAAAATAAATAAATAAAAAACTTAAATTTATAAAAATAGTTTAAAAATGAAATTTAAATTTTTTGTATCATTATTTCAATAATTAAAAGTTTTAAAATTAATATTCAAAAAAATTTTAAATACAGTAAATCTATTTAAGAAATAAAGTAATTTTATCAATGAAAAAAATATATATATATATATTTTTTTTTACTATCATAAAAAAGAGAATTTCTCTTAAGTTGTAATTAATTTTAAGATTAAAGTTCAATAAAACTATTCTTTAGTAAATAGTAACGCGTCTTTTTATATGATATAAATGCACATCAACCGAATAGGTAAATTCTGCATGTATCCCCACAAATGGAAATGCCGATTAATTTACATTTTTGACGCGTCTGACGCGTTTCAAGACATTTTTCGTGTAACCGTTAATTATGAAAAGTTATAAAAAGTGTGTCCGTTCACCTTTCGTTCATCCGATGCTCCATTCAGTCGCGAATTCATATTTTTTGAGGCTTTATTCACACATCTTTCTTCCTCTCGAACCTTGAAACGCCATTTTTTTTATATTATTGATCACAATACACCGTACAATATTACTTGCTCATTTAAAAAAACCTCGTCTCGTAAGCCAAGTATGAGTGGAGAAGCTCAACCTTTAACAGTTTCCGCTTTTATTGGTGAAACTATCGCTTCGGAACAAAATGAAAGCTCTAATTCTACTGTGAGAGAACTTCAAACGGGTCTAACTACCATGGAGGAGTACTTGAATGAGAATGAAGGTCAACTTTCTCGCAAAGTAAGTGTAGAGACTAATATGATGTAAAATGCATCATTTAAAATACCGAAGATGTGCAGTGTGAAATAATATGAGAAAAAAACTGACCTTTGTATTAACATATTATAATAGAGAAAGCAAAATGATGATTCTGACTCGGAAGGGAATGCCGAGCCTTCTGAGGTAGTAGCGAGCACTGAACACAAGAAACCGTCTTATACATATTCGTCCCTTATCGGGCAGGCACTTCTTGCGTCTCCCAACAAGAAGTTGCCGTTAAACGAAATTTATTTGTGGATATCTCGCACTTACCCATTTTATTCGATGACCAAGAAGGGATGGCAGGTATATGTTATGGTATTATTATTATTACTATTTCCTTGGTAGAATTATTATAAATATCTCACTGATTTTACGATTCCGGTTTTAGAACTCGATTCGTCATAACCTGACTCTATGTCCTGCATTCCATAAAATGGAGCGTGACGATGGTGTAACTGGAAAGGGTTCCTTTTGGACGATCCCCGATGAGTATGAAAAGTGTTTTGTCAATGGAATTTATAAAAATGATAAACCTAAAGAGGCGAGAAAGGCAAAACGTGCAAAGACAACCAATGATCTGTCAGCTGATAACCTGACCCCAAACAACTCCGTAATGCAGATCCAAACAGCCAACAACGTGTCCATATCAAATTCTTGTCAGAATACATCACAATCGCATGAAGAACGATCGGCTTTTGATCCGATAATATGGCCCTCGCAGGCCTTAAATTTGATTTCAAGCCCAACGAAGCTTTCTTCACAGAACGATCAACCTGTATCGACTCCGATGTCACAAACTCAAAACGGCCAATTGACTTCTGTCGGCAACTCCATATCACCCTATTTGGCGTCAATCTTTAATAATGCTAATTTGCTTTCACAACCCACCTCGGGAGCATCTGAACTAGCATCCCAGTCTGGTACACCTGATGCCCTGCAATTTCTTACCGAAACGGCTGCCTTAATCTTCGACGACGAACAGTCCAGCTCTGGCTCCATTAGTTTCGAACAAGGAACCACACCTTTTAATCCGATTCCACATGATCAAGCTGATTCTGAGTTCCCTGATTTGTCACTTAACGCCGAATCTATGATTTTATTTGATTTAACTCATGGGAATCCTACTGACGTAAGCTTGGCGGAATCTACGCGTGACGAACCATCGGGGGCCAATTCAGAATTGCAATTTCTGTCTACTCAATACGACACAGCGCTTGGTGACTCTATATGTTCTAGCTTGATGATGCAGAATCCCGATGTGTCAGCTCTCATTGACGAGCAATTTAACATCCAGGAGGACGATCAACTTCTCAACACTAGTGCTGATTTGAATTCTATCTGTGATTTGGCTTTAAATGGTTCGATTAACAACTTGAATCCAGGAATCGATTTCCATCAGTCCATTCCTGTTGATAATAATAAAAATGATTATATGTCACCATTCGCCTCCGATGGTAATGGGTTCTCATGCAGTCTCAGCAAGACCTATCGTGAATGTCGGGATCTCAGCAAACTTGGGTCAAGCGAAAGAAGCATCAAATCCATTAAAAAGTCTCCCCAGTCACGTAACAAGAGAATTCGTGATACAGCGAAGATTTCAGTGAAAACTTATAAAGTTATTATGGATTTACTATCCAAAATGCCCGAGTCCGACAGCAAACCTAAGTCCGTAATTCCTATGAAGGATTGGGTTTATGAGTCTCCATCATATTGTGTCAACATGCGTGACGTGGAGTTCGCGTACCTTGAAATCACCAAAGACATTGAACAAAAATTTCAAAGTGATTTCCGCGCAGAAGCTAAATGTCAGGAATTCGGAGTTGAAATGATGCATTTTTACAGTGAAGATCCGTTACTGGACTACAATCAAGGACGATTCTTCCTTTCTAGTCTAAACTCTCCTGAAATAGCTGATATTCCCGACTTTTGTTATACTAAATATATGGACCCTGAGAAACTAACCCAAGTGGATCTAGACACCAGGGACTTAAATTATGTGGACCAAGGCGTCTATAATTTTTGGTAGAGAATTAGGTCGAGAATGTTCGCGTTGTCTGATATCATTTCTAGAAAGTATTTTTTGTGAAGGAAACTGATATTTAAAAATCAAACAAACGTTAATTTAGGATGTTTGATTCGTTTAAAAGAATGGTATTTCCTGTGGTTATGAATTTTGGCTACGATAACTGTAAATTTTGTAAATTAAAATTAATAAACTGTACATAGTATTGACGTTTCAAAAAGTTATTAGTACGCGTTAAATTGGTGAAGTTAAATAATCGTTACAAAGACCGTATAACTTGTTAAACGAAATTATATGCAATATGTATACACTTAAATATTTAGACCTTAGATGATAAATAAACATATAAACATTTAAATTCCAATATTATTACCAGTTCTAAACTCGTATAATACTTGCTTTACATTTTTTAAAAAATTCTCTTCTGAAAAGTTTTATTCTATACTAGATATTTACGTATATTCATAATCAGTTTTTAAATCTAAATTTGACTTATTTATTTATGATGGATTTATTAAATATATATTTAAATAATATATTTTATTGTATATTATAGCAAAAAACTCTTGTTAATTTTTTAATTATATATATATGATTGCTATCAAAAGTTTAAGTCTACTTACTATGTTTTTATTATAAATTTCAACTTTGTCAATTTTTAAATCTTTATTATGCAATTAAAAATTATAAAATTTGTATATATAATATATTAATATTTATTTTATTTCTTATATTTTTTTATTAATTATCATATTAATTATAGTAACAATCAATCAAAATTTTTCAAAAGTAAAAATTTAATAAAGAAAAAAAATATTTAACAATAATAAAACTTTAAAAATTATATAGCAAAAATTTTTGAAAAAAATATAAGAAATAGAATAAGTATTAAG